GCAAATTAAGCCATTGCAATAAAAATAAATGTTTATAGCCAGTAATAGCCACTTGTGGCCATTTTCATCCATAAACACTGAAATAGCCCATAATTGTCAATTATACTTACAAATAGCCATTGCTAGCCATTTGAAGCCAACCTGGTCAGAAATATATGCTAATAGCCAAAAATGGCCCCTTAAAGTCATTCCAGTTAGTAAACACTAAAACACCCATAAATATCAACACTAGTCACTAATAGCCATTTGTAGCCAATTCAATCAAATGGATCTAAAATTTGATGCATAAGCCAATAATAGCCGCTTGAAGCCATACTCATTTTTAAGTGCCGAAACAGCACGTAATTGTTTAATGATCTCATCAATATCCATCAGCAGTCATTTCAATTCAATCTGGTCAAAAATAATTACAAATAGCCAACATTATCCACTTGAAGCCACTCCATTTTGTAAATATAAAAATAGCTCAGGCAATAGTTATTTACTAATAGCGGTTTGCCGCCATTTACAGCCAATCTATTCGAAAATAGGTGATTATAGCCAATAATAGCCACTTGAAGCCATTCTCATACATAAACACCTTGACAGCAGATTATTGCTATTATACTGACTAACAGCCATTAGTAGCCATTGAGCCAATCTGGTCAGAAATATATTCCAATCGCCAACAATAGCCACATGAAGTCATTCCAGTTTATAAACAGAAATAGCTCAGTTTTCATTACTCATTAATATTTATAGCCATATCTATCAAATATATATAAAAGTTGAGGCTGATAGCCAATAATAGCGAGTTGAAACCATGTGCATTCACGAACGCCGAAATGGGTAATTGTCAATTATCTCATCAATAGCTATTGGCAGCCATTTAAGGTCAATCTGGTCAAAGAAGATGCTAATAGCCAACAAAAGCTACTTGAAGCCGGTCATAAGAGTAAGCACAAAAAAAATCACATAATTATCAATAACGATCACTTCTAGTCACTTGGAGTCTTTTTAAGTCGGTCTCATCAAAAATTGATGCCTATTGCCAATTATGGTCACTTGGTGCCATGGGCATCTAATAAGACATGTTTCGGTTGGAATAAAACTAATAAATCAACAAGCTCAGAAAAGGTTAATAATTATTTAGATTGTAAAAAATCGCCATACAAGTCCTGACTGGTCTATACAACACACTGCATTTTGACATCAAAATACCAAGAGGTCCAATATCACGAGCTTATGCTGTCTATGCTGCATCAAAAAATGGGAATATTTCATAGACTATCAATTTCTCTAGTGAGTCAGACCCACTTGATTCATTTCCGGGGAAAGTAGCGAGTTGTCCACTCCACACCGCCAGGATCGCTTTCTACTTCCGTCTCCCATTTTAGCCCGGAGTTTCCTGTATTATTCTCAACGGTATTTGGTAGGATGATCGTCTCCAAAGGTTGTAAATATTTAAAGCAATGTAGAGCCCGTAAATGGCCTAGCACTAGTCTTGGACATTAATCCGTTCCTTAAAAAATAGTGATGGGCCGAATCTGCCGAGCTTCAGATTCGGGAAAGTTCAGCAGATGCCGAACTTTTGAAGGAAAGTTCGGCAAATATTCGGCTAAAATTCGGCAAATGTCTGCGCGCGCGAGAACGCGACGGGGCCGTGGATTGCAAATGGACGCCGTGCAGTCGTGCAGTTGCTATCGTGCAGTGCACGGTGGTGCAGCGTAGTACAACCAGTGGTTTCGGCGAGGTGTGGACTGAGCAGGCAACACGGTAACTGCGTTTGTGAGCGAACGTGGTTCTCTTCAGTATCTTCTGCCTCAAGAGTAGTAGATCGACCAGTAATTTACGCAGTACACTCCGCAAGTAACAAATGATGCGGTACATTCTGGATGACGTGATTTTCATTTGACATTTCTAGTGATGCAACGAGTTAGTTGAAACATTGGCCGACAATTACTTTAAAGCACTCCTCGCAAACATGACAATTCTGTTTTCGGCTCAGAAGTGGTGTGTGCCAAAACAACATAATATTGCTTTTTCAATTAGCGTTATTGCGCGATTTTCCTTTAGCTGCATAAAACTAAACACAGATCAATAATGATCGTAGGCTGCACATCCGACGTTCCTAACTTTGATCATAATGTAAAAAGAGCGCAAACAAACACGGGCGAAGGAGAAGAAACACGCAGACGGGACAAGCGCTGACTCGCAACAGAAACTTTAGTACTTAAAAAAGGAAAAAGGAGAAAATAAGATAAACACACACACACACACCAGGAAGACCCCAAATCAGCACTCTCACTCAAACATGTACGTGTCAGCCTCTTCCCCTATCAGCACCATCACATCACCGCGTGGCCAACTTTCACCCTCTCGCGCATAAATTCAAATTCTTTTTGTGAAAGCGTTATTGAGGCCTCACTCACGCACCGATCCCCAGAGTGACAATGTGAAAGGCCTCGAGCACTTCTCTCGCCAATCTATCTTTGTTTCGTCCTAATACTGCAGTGTCAGGGAAGGACGGTTTACACTTGCATACGTTGCAGTGCAACGAGAGGTGCCCTCCAACCGTGGCACTAAGGGAGTAATTATGCTCTGTAAGCCGATCGTTTAAAGAAGGTCCTGTCTGTCCGACGTAACACTTATTACACGACAGGGCGATCTTATAAACAACCCCCTCACAGCATCTCACGAACGGTTTCGCATGTTTCTTTCTGCACTCTTGTTTTGGGTGCCCTTCCGCTCTTGCTTCAATCCTAGAGCAGACCTGTCTAAGTCTGAGGGGGGCTGAAAACACCACCGGTATGTTATATCGGCTTCAGACCTTCTTTAGCCTATGGGAGATTTTGTGGATATACGGGATCACCACAGGCCTTTTCTTTTCTACGCTGGACTTATCCACCTGGGATCCTTTAGTCCGCTTCAATAATGCGCTTGCAACATCAGACAGTAACGCCGGTGGAAACCCCGCTGCTCGTAACCTTTGCACCTGTGTCCCGAAGCTCTCAGAAAACGTATGAGGGCACGACTTTTTCAAGGCTGCACCGAAGCAAGAGAGTGCAAAAGCGTGCATATTTACAATAATATTATTATCTCTTCTGGTGAAGGCTCGGCAACCGTTGCATTCGTTTTCGCACACAGAACGGTGAATCTCAGAGAAAGCAAGAACGCAGCGTTATTTCCCTCATTTTAACAATGTACACACACATGCAGGCTTGCTCTAATAATGCCCCAAACCGAAACTCTCGTAGCGTGATTTGTGACTGCGCCACGCTCGCTTCTACCCAACCAAACCACACCACTTCTGCAAGGTGTCACTCAAATTGACAGTAAACACACAAAAACGACACCGATACAATTATATTATAGAATATCACCTTATTTAGTAATAACTGTGTCAACATGCATTACATGTTGCATTCAAGTTAAAAAACACAACATAAAACCTTTTTTTCGCCAGAAAAAACTAAATTTCAACGTTAATTCTGGTAACAATGTATTTTTGCCGAATCTTTGCCGAATCTCTAAAAAAGTTCGGCAAAGGTTCGGCTTTGCCGAATCCCAAGATTCGGCGCCGGACTTCCGATTCGGCAAAAGTTCGGCCCCATCACTATTAAAAAACTATATCTTGACAATGATCCCGTAACACCAGTAATTCGCTAGGGGTCACTGTATATGTAGTCCTTTAAAAAGCACTACGTAGCTTATTCTTTAAAAGTAACTAATTGCTTTTTTAAGCGTCGAATACAAATGTTAAACCGTATATACGCCGTCACTTAAAAGATTAATTAATCGAGTATTGGTTCTTGTTAATTTCTACGCATAATTTGTTTGCAGCGTTTTTTCTTTTTTTGCCTTTGCTGAAATTTTGATATACGGCGCCATATACAATTTCGATTATGAATCAGCATCGATGTGTAGTTGACAACTTTTCCAAAATACTCACGTTCACAGATTCTTACTTCATCTGCATGAGGCAAAGGTGATCTTAGATGTTCTCCGGCCAAGAGTGATCTCCTTTGATTCTTCACAATATCTGCTACGGCTCTAAACAAACACTCGCGCGGCGTTGAAGTAGCCGAGACACGCGTAACATTTTGCCCTTGTCCGGAGTTACAAATCACACCCCTGCACTTTACTTTAGATTAAAATTTCACCTAACGTTTGCCCTTCATAGGGGTGTAGGCTTTCGTGCACGTCTGCGTGGTGAAACCGTTTAATTTTTACATCATTCTGATTCGTCAAGATTTTACCGATTAACCTTTTAAAAATTAATCGCGATTAAAGCTTTAAATGATTAATCGGTAGTTTATTCCCTCATTTGGCCAGAGCCCCTTTTTATGCCATTCTGTAATTACCACGTTACGTGTTGAGATAGAAAAACAACCGGATATAAAAAAGTAAGAAAAGCTCAGGTCTAGCTTAGTGGTTAAGACCCCGCTTCGCACGCAGTGGACTCAGATTCTACTCCCGCGGGCGGCGGGTGATATTTTTCAAGGAGTTGGCACCCTCGGCGACCGACGCCCAACCTCGCCAACTACAACAGCAACGACAACTCCAGCTAATACATCCACAACCAACTACTTGTACAACTACAACTGCAATACCAACAAGCAACGTCATTTTCAGTGGTCCAAAGAGCCGATAACAGCTATCGCTGTAAAACGCACCATCAAGTATGTGCCAGAGTCTATTTATAAACCAAAACTAACATTGAATTCTGCATTAATCATAGCTATGCAAGTGAAAAAACTCCTGTGCGAGTCTAGGCTGCTAACCGAAGACGAGACAATCCCAAGGAGTTCTAAGTTGTAGCTGTTACCAAGATCTACTTTCTATCTCAGATTCTTCAAAAAAAAAAAAAAAAAAAAAGATCATAAAGCGAGAAAGCAAAGAAAACAAAGAAAAGAGTGGATTTTTTTTTTAATAACCGTTTTTATTAGCATTTGTTATACCCACGTATAAACAGCGCTCAACTGAACTGTTAGAAGGTGTATAAGGCGGCACCAAGCCCTCTAAGGGCAGCTGGTGTCGGAGATGTCGAACTTCGGGGTGGCACCGCAGAGGAGATCAAAGATGAAATCACAGCATACCGCGTGATTTCCCAGTTGACTTTTGGGGACGAAGAGAGCACATGCCCCATCTGCAGGGTTCAAAAATGGGTCAGCTTGTGAACGTTCGGTATACCACTACTGTGTTGCATGAAATTCCATCATGCGTAATAAAAATATTAGAATCAACGAGCCTTACAGTTCTAAAGTACATCATCTGAAAGATATCTGATCAATTATACTTAATGCAAAAAAAATATAATGAGGCTTATTTACACATCACAAAAAATAGGAATGTCAGCAAATGTAGAAACTGAAGCAAATCCTGTCACAATTACCTCTTTGTCTCATTAATCGCAATACATTTCTACTAATTATAGTACAATTATTCAGAGTCGTTTTTAGTTAGTTCATATTTAAAGAATGGTTCCTTGATAGCCCTAGAAAGAAGTCATCCATCGCGTTGTGTGAGAGATTTCCTTAGTGAGAAACATAGCCATCAGAGGCGCACTGCGCTCAGTAGGACCTAAGGTATACCAATGAACACGCGGATGTCCAGTGGCAACATTCATTCATTGGTTTATGAAGTTCATCATTCACGTCTGTTTTCGTCTTCTCCTGAAATCTCATACCGCCATCACGGCATCAACCATCAGAACTGTCTGGGTGCCGAAGCATCAGAGCACATCAAGAGATGCGCATGTCTACCTGAAGTGGCGCGTTCGCCTCATCTTGGAGACAGAAGTCCATTGAGCGAATAATAGCAGAGCGGTTTTAAAGCTAAATACCCATTAAGAGACCGCACATGAATTAAAAGGTACCGCTAGCAGTAGCGTCAGAACAAAGTGGGAGGGGGAGGGACGTGGCAGCCCGCCCTTTACGTCCAGGTATTTCAAAAATGGTATGCAAACAATAAGGTGAAGGGAGCGGAAAATCGTTCTCACCCCCTACCACCCCGTTGCCCCCCCCCCCCCCCCCTCCCCCTTTTCCCCCTCCGACATCTCCCAAATATTTCCGCCGCCTTTGAACGCTACGCAGACAGGTGTACTTGCGAATAGTTATCTGACTGTGTACGTTGTACTTTGGTAGCCCGTAACTTCTCAGTCAACACTTATTTTCGAACCGATTTTCAGTGTGAACCGGTAACCGCGATTTACAGGTGCGATTTCATCAGGTTTTGGTTTAGTATGAAATATCAAATTTGAGTTTCTCTCTTGTGCTGGTTCTTTTCATATGTAGGTGCTGATCTGGTCACTCGTTCGGCTTCGAGTCGGGCTCAACAGCCTGGCGGCGTATGACCGCTTCAAGTGCACAATAATTAGCACAGGATTGCACTAGTACAAGAAAATGCTTAATAATCACGCTGAATTAAACTGTGAGCTGCGTCAAGCGCGTTCTGTATTTTCTAAATTCCCAAAACTTCGTCAACTGATCATGTGAACTATGCAAGCAAAGTGTATTACAGATATCTGAGCACCCTGCAGGGACGACTATGAAGATGAAAGACAGTGTTATGCTGGCAGCATAATGCCGTGCGCAAAAGGAGATTTATAACAGGGGTTTGTACTGCTGAATAAAAGAAAGGAAGAAAGAGTCTTACCGCCTGCGTATGGCAGACGGAGTATTTCGCACTTCTTGACGTCTGTGTACGCTGAGTAAGCCGGCACCGAGATATCCTCTGCGAAATTACAAAAAAAAGGAAATATGTCATCACAAGTTCCCCTTAATAAGGTATTTCTATTCACCTGGATCGCTGAATAAAATAAAGAAAGGAAATGTTGTTAGAAACATGCCAAGTAAACTATGTGATATATAACTATAGTTGGATATTCAATCTTTCTTATTTACGTAAACTTCAAGGTAAACGTTCGACAGCCCTCTGCCAGGTTAGGAATGGACATTAAAGGGACACTGACATCCCCCAAATATTTTGTTTTATTTTTTGCCAGGCGATTCATAATGAAGTGAGAGGACTACCCAATCAATATTTTGCTAAATCGTCATGAATAATTTTAATAAAGTAAGAAAACGCAACTGGCTCGAAACCGAAACCGAAATTAGACTAGGGAGGAAGCATATATAGAGGAGAAGAAAGTTACTGAAAATCACTAAACTGTGCAAGGCTTTTCTTTTTTTTTTTTTATGAATTTTTTTTAGTTGTTTAGGAGCTAAAAAAAAACGATATTATAATTTTTGTCTATTTTTAGCGCTGAGTGTGTGCTTTGAATGGCGCACGACTTTTATTTTCGTTCGGTGGTTGAGTCTTAACCATAGAAAATGGCATGTGCCCACGGAGAAGAGAGTGAGCGCGACTCAAACCGGCCAGTTCTCGGTCGGAAGTTTTCGGGCCGAAAGAAAATTAATTACGAGCCGCAAATTGTTTTCTGGGTAGTTTGGCTCTCATATGTCATCTACAAATAAGAGCCTTGGCGAGCGTCTATTCTCTGTCAGTGTCCCTTTTAAGCAAAAAAATAGGACTCTAACCAAAAGTTTAATAAACACTAACCCGAAGTTTCGTGACCGGTTTGGCCCCTGTTCACGGGTGACTGACAAAAAGAACACTCGTCGGTTAAATACACGCACAAATGTATTTAAGCGACACGTGTTCTTCTCGTCACTCACCCGTGAACAAGGGACCGAACTGGTCTCGAAACGTCGGGACATTGTTCATTAAATTTTTGGTTAGAGTCCTATTTTTTGTTTAAGTAAACTTAAGTGAACAATTACTGAGACATGCTTTATTATGATATCGCGTATTTTAAAATGGTTTACAACGCTATTTTATGGGTTCATCATCCACCACAATTTTAGAGCATGTCAAGGGTTAGTCGCTGCCCATAAGTTCATAAAATAATTAAAGCGCAATGATTACGGGCAAGAATATAATACATTTATTTAAATTAAGGATATTCAGTGTCATTTTGGGCCGAATTTGTAGTTATATTAATTTCAAACATCCAGTCATAAACGATGATGTTTGGACTCGAAGACAAAGGGCTTCTATATTGTAGTTTTTGTACTGCTGTCTAAAACTCTAACTCAAATGCCACTAGGGAAGTAACTACTGGTATGCACTAGATGTTAATTCTCACAAAGTCCCGAGTCTTGGTTTCGCTAAAAAATTTGCTTTCATAAAAAGATTTCCATCTTTTAAGCGTTCCAACAAACAACCAGACCTTTAGTTCGGAATGAAAGTTCTTGTTGAAGATGAGGCTTGAAGAAAATAATACTCACGACCTTGAGGTTGAAAGTTCAGAACGTTTTTGAGTGTATATCCCGGAGATAAGCCGAGAGTCACTGTTAGATTACTGGAATATAAACCGCCAACGCTTTGATAAGTAATTTAACCTGATCATGCTAAGTAAACAGACGTTCTCTTCATCGCTGTTTAATTCAGACCACACTTTCACTTCGGTAGCACTTGCTACGATAACCCTACCAAGGTGAAAATTTGCGAAGGGATATGCTGGGTGTCTCAAAGACCGGCCAGGCTCTTTAAATCGATTGCAAAATTCGGTTTCTTAACCTATCACGCTACGACTTTGTGCAGCGTCGCCCACAGATGGTGCTTTTTTTTTTTTGGTAAAATTTGCAAAGACCGAACTTACCTGAGGAAAAAGTAAAGAAAGAAAAAGGCTTAGCTCCTATAGAAACGCAGTGAGGCCACCGATCTTCAAGCAATACGCCTCGCAAGTGGGCTCATTTTCGTCTTCTGCGCATGAGAAAGGAAGTAGCGGTGACGTCAGAACGCCAAGCCCTCATTGGCTGATCGCGACCCCCCCTCTCAGCGTCGTCTGCTCCTTTGCAACGTCGTCTGCTCGCAACATCGTCTGCGTCTGTCTTACCTTTCCTCCGAATTTCGAAAGTGCAGGTCTTTACGAGCGAGCTCGACTTCGCCTTTGAGAGAGGGCAGACGAAATAACTCGAGCAGTACGTTGTTTTTGTCTAACAACTAGCAGACGCGCATCAAGGAGAGAAGTCAAAGGACTCACTGGCGAAGTGTCCCGAGGCCCGAGGCGCCGAGGTTTGTTTGCTAAGAACCGAGAGTGAGCGTGTTAGTGCCCGCAAGTTCCCTTCCAAATACTTTTTCCCTCCTTTCCTCTCCGGCGAGACTCCTCATTCTTTAACGGCGTCGGCGGGTTGGCGCGGTTAACGTCGTCTGTTTTACGTCTGCTAGTCAAAGCGATGGCTGCTATACCTTTCCTGCGTCTGTCGGAGATTCACCGGTTTTTCACCGGCGAGAGTCACCGTTGCCTCGGGAAACGAGGAGATAAAAAGAGGAAGAAATTGACCTCTTAATCTAAAATTGAGGTAAGCGATCAAGGTATAATACGGGAAGGGTTCACAAGGGTCGCTGTGGCATATTTTATTCAGCACGCCAGCCGGTCGTGGGCAGACGGTCGCCGAGTCGCGGAGTGCCTGCTAGGCCTAACTGCAAAGCTCGCTTGGTCGCGTTCGGTGGAATCGTGGACGTTGGAGCTTTTCACGGGTGTTTATGGATCCAGCGTTCTTGTTCGTCGTGGTCTGTTTCAAGTATTTTTTACTCTTTTCTTGCTGCTTGAAGTCGGGACGCGTGAGAAGCGCACGTAGAAAAATAAAAGTCCGTGGGTCGTCGCGACCGCGACGCTGTGGCCATGCTGATTTGTTCGTAAGAAGTTCGTAAGAAGTGCGTAACTTCCGAAAATTTCGTTTCGTGAATACGAATTTGTTATTAAGTTTTGTCTTACGCACATTTTTGGCGTAAGACCGTTTCGTGAATCTAGCCTCTACACTTCCGAAAGTCGCAGGAAAGGTCAGACAGACGCAGACGACGTTGCGAGCAGACGACGCTCAGATAGGGGGGCGCGATCAGCCAATCAGCGCTCGGCGTTCTGACGTCACCACTACCCCCTGCGCAAGAAGCAGACGAACTTGCCCTCCGCATACGGCGCCGTTCCGCACGGGAGACAAGAGATGGCACAAGCTGTCGCGGCGCCAACTGCCGCCAGCGAACGAGCATATGGCGCCGAGAGCCGGTGTCTTTAGCAGACAATCTTTTCGACTCAAAAAAGGCGCGAGTTCTTTTAATATCAGTTGCCAATGCATTTTTTTATTATTATTACTAATAAAACACAATGAATGCACACACAATTGATTAAAAAAATGGTTTGTCGGGTTCTTTGGACTGTTTTTGTTTTCGTGGTACTTACGCCGTTTGCTTTGCAGTTCCTTGTAGTCCCGCGCCAATTTTTGTTTCTGCGACTGTCGCCGCCTGCGGAATGCGCGCCGCTTTTGAGTAGGGGTGTGCGAATACTCGAATATACGAATTCGAATCGAATAGAAATTTCACGAATAATTCGATTCGCGAATCGAATTCCTAGTATTCGGTCACTCGAATATTCGATATATTCGGCCAAAGACTCGCGGTCGCCGCGGAGCCGACAAAAAAAAACCGTTTTTCCCCCCGATGTAAGCGCCGTGTTGTTAGACAAACCATGCGAAAAACAGCTCTTGGTCCTACCATTCCACAAACTTCTAACGCACAGGTTAGTAAAAAGAAAAGTAACGAACGCCACGAACTTTATAGTACGCAGATTTACTCACGATCGTGATACAATCTACCCTTGAATCACAACCGAAACATCGCGTTTGCGCCGCTTCCGGCCGAAATCCCGCGCCATGCCTAATTCGTTTCACGAGTAAAGCCCCTCGTTTCAAATTGAAGCACCGATGTAAAACACACTTGCCGCACTCACAGAAATCGGCGACTGCACGATCACAGAAAGAAAACCACGTTAACACGCCGATAAAACCAGCCGAGTTATCGTCGTCGTTCTTTTGGAACCTCAAGCCACAAATTCTGATTCGGAACGAAACGGAACGTGAAAATAGTGTGCCTAGATTTGAGAGGGTTTCCAACCGTTCGATAGGCGCGTTTGAATTACGAACTGCGAGAAGGTGACGAAAAAACGAAAGCGTCGATCGGGATCGGGCAGGCAGGCAGGGCAGGGAGAGTAGGCGTCGTTGCCCTTCTGTTTGCTCGCCTTTTTCCTCGCGACAACACAACACATGCGCACTTACGACCTATCTGCACCGGAGCCGTCTCCGTGGTTTCAGTTTCGCTTGCTCCCTCTTTTAAATCAAGGCTCTCTAAAACAGGATAGATAGACGGAAAAAGTGGATGCATAGCGGCAGTTGGACGGTGTCTTGCGCCACCTAACCACGCTTTTTTTTTTTCTTACTTCAGATTATATTGTTTAAGCCTGTTTACTAAGATTTAACACCTATCTGTTTATTTACGTGAAATAACATCCCGGGTGCCCTTTTTCTTCCTTAAAATGAACACCAAATATCGCAAAATGCCCCTTTTCTGAGATATGCAAACATTTATAAAAAAAAAAGTTGCGGTGTTAGGTTGGGCTTAAAAAAGGCATGCGTGGCTGTAACTTCGGGTTTTTTGTGACGTTTAGGGAAGATGAATTATATTTGTGCCATAAAATTGGATCCTTAGTGCCCAACATCCAACAGCAACTGCTTTTATTTTTTTTTTTTCACCAGAATTTTTTTTACATTTTAGCTTTTGTTCTACACAAGATGCATATTCTGCAACAGGTGCATACTCTGCACATATAATAATCTCATTCGCAGCACACTTTGAAGAATTCCTACAAATAAAATCACTATTCGATATTCGATTCGATATTCGGCTTTTTTTTCTTGATTCGATTCGGTATTCGATTCGAAAACTACTATTCGGTATTCGCACACCCCTACTTTTGAGTCGAAGAGATCGTCTACTAAAGACGCCGGCTGTCGGCGCCGTGTGCTCGTTCGTTGGTGGTAGTTGGCGTCGCGACCGCTTGCGCCATCTCTTGTCTCCCGTGCGAAACGGCGCCGTGTTGTTTGAAGACCGATGGCTTCGCTGCGTTTCCATAGGAGCTAAGCCTTTTTTTTTCCTTTTTCCTCAGGTAAATCAACTTTTTTAATTTTACAAAAAAAAAAATCACCATCTGTGGGCAACGCTGCACAATGTTTTTGCGTGATAGCATAAGAAACCGAATTTTGCTGTAGATTTAAAGAGCCTGGCCGCTCCTTGGGAAACCCAGTAGATTGTTCAAGTTGCAATCAACGCTCTCGCTTGTTTCTTATTTTTATTTATTTTTGTGGTTTCTTGTTTTGGCACACTTTCTTTCTACAATAATATGATTTGTTTGGGTTAAGTTATTATAAACAAAACGAGGAGTGGAACCGGTTGGGAAGAGTGACTTTGTACATAGAATCAGTCAATTTTTACACACAAAGGAGAAGTCGCTTCTCTAAAAAATACAAACCAATGATTTTGCACTCCAGAAATTAACCATCCACAGCCGTATGAATTGGACTGCATCCAATGTTGTGCCCACAATGGTGATAACTTAAGAAGTGTCAGAACTTCAGAATTGTATCCCGACTTGTTGAGCTTCCCTTGCTGCTACCCGCCCTGGAGAATATCACGAGCATCGGTCTAAAACCTAACTATTTATTGACTGTTATCGCCTCCCACGACTCACGCGATTCTCCGCGCATACTTCTGCTGCGGCCCTTTATCAGCGGCCGAGTGCCGCTCGCCTGGACGATTGCTTTGACCGCCTCGTGGGGGAGATGGCCAAAGACGTTTTGATCTGTGGGTGCAACCTGGTCGCACGCTTTGTGCACACCAGGGTTCCCACAGACTGTTGAGGTTCGAACCTTAAGGCGAGCAATATTTTACACAAGTTACACATTTTACACCGCAGCCCATACGTCGGTCTGGCAGAATGAAGGCGACGAGATTCCCTGTTGCGTCGTCGCATCTTAGTGACGGCCACGTGAAGTGGCACACTCTAAACAGGTGAGGTGACAAGTACGTTGCTGAAAGCTGCTCGAAAGCTCACATTTAGGAGGCGGGGCAGCCCAAACCGTGGACAGCGATTGCAGTTTAATAACCGACGGCTCCTGCGAAAATTGGCTGCTCATGCGCAGGCGTGCATAACTGCGTGACGACGAGGATAGCGGATAGGGAGGTTGAGTGAAGCTTGGAGACGCTTCCATGCTCGAGAGCCTAGATTGTACAAAGCGTCTATTTCAAACCATGGGGATCGTTTGCTATTTAATGGCGGACGACACCTTCACCACCCGCGCCGATTAGTCGCAAATGCGCATGCGCTGCGTTGTCGTGTGGCGAGGAGGAAGGCAGACGGAAAGGCAGAAACGCTCGCAGACAATCCACGCGTTCGTCATTTCCTTGCGGCTCGTACTGCGAACGCGGCCCAGAAACCACGTGACCCCGATCGAACAGTTAGACGCTCTTTGTAATACAGGCTCTCAATTGCAGACGTGACGATAGACACCATAGCCTCCCCCTCACACCTTGTACAGAAACCGCGGTATAGAAACCACGTGACCTCAATCAATTACCTGGAAACAAAACACTAAAAGCTGGGAATGAACCCGCAGCTCTTAGGAGCCCGTTTCTTGGTTGAGCGGTGTCGGCGTCGCCATCGCTGTCGGCATAACCGCGCTAGATTTAGCGGGAAAATTGACGTCACGTGACCTCAACACCAATTCAATACCCCAACCGCTAAATTTAGCGGGGAAAATGACGTCTCATGACTTGGTGTCACGTCATCTATGAACACGTTCACCTTCTCCGCTTGATTTACCGGGAAAATTCGCGTCCGTTGACCTTAACAGCAATTCAATTCCTCGCTAAATTTAGCAGGAAAATCGATGTCACGCGACCTCGACACTAATTCCGTTTCTCCGCTAAATTTAGTGGGGGAAATGATGTTACATAAGTTGGGGTCATGTCACCTATGAACAAATTAAGTTTATCCGCTAGATTTAGCCGGAAACTCGACGTCACGTGACCTTAATACCAATTCAATTCCCCGCTAAATTTAGCGAAAAATTGACGTCGCGGGATTTCAAGACTCATTCAGTTTCCCCGCTAAAGTTAACGGGGAAAATGACGTCACTGTACTTCGTGTCACGCCATATATGAACAAATTCAGTTTTTACGCAAAATTTAGCATCAATATTGAGGTCAGTTGTGGAGGAGGAAGAGGGGAAGGAGCGGAGGAGGAGGAGTATGAAAGGGGGTGGAGGAGGAGGGGAAAGAAGTAAGAGAAAGAGGGAAGGAGGAAGAGGAGCGGAGAGGAGGAGGATCCTAGGGGAGGAGGAGGCGAGGAGGAGAGGGTACGGAGAAGGAATGGCATGCCCTCCCCTCCCGCACCCTCCCCTAATAAACTAATAAACTAGTGCCCCACTCCTTGAAATCACAGCACGCGAGACAGAAACAAATAGAGATCTCGGAATAATCTCCAAGTCGATATTACCATTATGGTTGCCCATTATTGGGCAACCACGATTCTAAAAAAAAAAATGCAAAGAAGGTTGTTAAATTAAGAAGCATACTCACGCTGAGAAGCTTGGATCGTACTCAACAATGAGTGGGTAAGCGTCATTTTGTCCGGGATCAGTCTCCCTGAATCTGACACATGTAGCCGTGCCCCCGAAAAATGGATCCGTCTCGAAGTTCCTGTACGCCACGTACCATGTCTCTTCGAGGGGAAAGAACTGCAAAGTGGGATCGCGGTCAAAATAAAAAGGCTAATGATCACTTTGAGGTTGTTTTGAGCGGGCTCGGTTTTGGCAAAGTCTCGGGCAAAGTAAGCAAAAGTGGACGTACTACAGAATAGTTTATATTCTTGCTTATATATCTTTCTCTCAACTTACCGAAGATTGATCCTGGTACTCTTGAAGCGCTGGATTTTGTTCTGGGTATTGCGTGCTTGCGTAAATGCTATGAGGTACCAGGTGAGTCGTTATGGCGAGCAGAGCAAAAAGCATCGTTCTGAATGGGTGATATTCTTTCATCGGCACTTCGATCTCTGTTGACTACGGTAGTGTGTCAGCGTTCACCTCACTCTATTTTATAGTCCACGCAAGTGTGCTTATCTTTGTTTTCTGCCCATGGAAATAGAGGAGCGATGGCGTAAGCGCAGGTTGGTTACGATTTTGACAAAGCACCGCCCCCGCACATGTCGGAATGTCGGCTTGGGGTAAACAACATAGACGTCGATAATGGCGGCCATGCCGCCGCAGCGACCGTGATTTTTTTTTTTTTTTTTATGTATCGTTGTTAATATTTTTTGAGTTCGCAAGGAAGAGCCGCTTTGTGATCCTTACGATTCCTCCGTCGTCTGATCGAGGCATTTCGAAAATTCCAATATAAAGACAAAGAAGGTCATCAAAAAGAAGGCGCTTCTCCATCCTTGCGATTGAAACCCCAGTCTTCACACCGTTAGCAAAAAGGGTGTATTCGGGTAGTATTTTCGGGTAGAATACATCTGATTCGCACTTATTCTAAAACTGTTCACGCTCCGCAAGAACAAAAACAGTCACCACACTCTCAAGAAAAAAGAGTTTCAGATGGTGTATTCTTACACCCTTTGTCCCATATAATACACCCAGAATTTCAATTCGACGTACAGTGCCCTACAGTCGAACATTGGGCCCGAAACTTTACGAGGGGCTTGATAGCCGCGTGGTACAACATTTTAAATAGCTAAAGTACGTATCAAAGACCACATAAAGAAAACACCGAGCTTTTACTGTAGGGCCAAGAAAACCCGAATTATATTTTTCGTGTTCAGTAAAACGTACATCAGCTATTTTAATAAGTTGTACCACATGGCTATCAAGCCCCTCGTTAAATTTCGGGCCGTCTGTTCGACTGTAGGGCGCTGTACGTCGAATTGAAGTTTGGCGGTGTATTACATGGGACAAAGGGTGTAAGAATACACCTTTTGACACTCTTTTTTCTTGAGAGTGCAATATCACGTACCTGAGGTCGTAGGAACGTGGTTTTGTCCACGAATAAAAGCCGTTACGTGCAAAAGAACTCGAAAACCCCGACGAACTCGTTGGAACACACCCCGGCAGTCCATCAACATCGACATCAACCGTAGAGAGGCACTGGTAATATGCTCAGTCCCCGAGATCAAGGGTGAAGTCACTCAAGCGTTAACAATGATGGTAAACGCCAAGCTTCAAAAAATCTGTAAAGGCATAAGGGTAAGGTTCCTAAATCTCAGACGATAACTAAAAGATGACGCAATGGAGAAGGGTGGCCTACACCACCACGAGCGAGGCGTGCGAGTGAAGACGGAAAAACTAGGAGAAGTGGCCTGCCGTTTTTAAGGCATATACCGGAAAAAAGACCCTAGACGAAAGAGAGAAAAGTCGACCACGAAGGACCAAAGGCAAGGTCATGCGAACCTGTCAAAAGTAGGAAAAGCAGGAGCGGTGTCTGCAGGGCGGCCTCAGGTACGTTTCTCGCTCCCGAAACTACGGCTACTGTTTTAGGAACCGAGATACCACCATGTACCACCGATGAAAGTCGTGCAACAATTTCGGGACTACCACAGCAACTTCCCGCGAATGGGCTCGGGTTGCGATTCGGCAGTGGGGCCACAGAGATCCGAAAAAACCAAACGAAAAATTTCTGGTTCCCCGAGAATCAACACCGCAATCAACTGCCAACAGGCTTTCTGTTGGGAAGATATATGGGGAGCTCCACTCTCACGCTATGATGCCTGGAGCGCGTCTCCGACTTGTGTGTCTGCCGCGCCCAAAAAAGTGGTCCCTTGATTTACGCCTGATGACGTCGTAGAAGTGTCATGCTGTCGACTGTCGCGATCCTGGCGACGTCCCAACAGCTGTGGTGTATGTGGCAGATGCCTGCTCTGCTGCAGGTCGCTCTCCAGTGCGACAGTCTTCTGGACTCTCCCAACCTCTGGAAACTTCGGCATCCTGAGGTTGGGACGCCATGACGACAGCGACAGTGGCGTTCCCTTGTGCTACTCCGAAGTTTTTTGTTAGCATTTCAACGACCAACCGCCATGATCGAGAAAAGCACCTGCATGAAACTTCGGCTTCTTTAATGTCATTTGTTGCCACTTCAGGAGCATTTTTGACGTATGGGCGGCATAGGACGCTAAACACACCAGTCGAAGACGCTTTCCAGGTACCATACTCATACGCCGGTGCCGTTTTACGACACAAACACGCAGCCCTATCTCGCACGGCAGTCAAAAACGCGCGGGCGATCGACACGATGCTAGAAGGAGCGAGGTCCAACACCTCGCACCCTTTCCCGTGCGCGGCCATCAAGTCTACTTCAGTGCGACATCAGCCCGCATGAACGTCCCCCATATCACGTAATCACTCAATATCATCTCATGCACTGAGACTCATGTCATGGGGTCAAACAATATATTCTTACGAACTCAGACTCGTACCCCGGAGTCACTCAATATCGTCTCAAGAACTCAGAGTCGTATCACAGAGTCAATCTTTTGGGTTAAACATAACAACTGTTTATTTATAAAAATATACAACAGGTGGCAGTAGAATAAATATTATCATCTTACGAACTCAGAGTCATATCATGGAGCCACTCAAATACACTCACAAACACGGGGTTAGTGAAAGTAAATTTGAGTGAGTGAGGTTGTGAATAAGGTTGCCGAGATTTAGGTAAACCCTTAATTAAATCCTAGATAAAATGTGCGCATACAGCCTTAAAACGCATCAAAATGTTGCCGCCGACTAGTGGTTCGTTTACAAAGTTCACAAGGCAAGCCGCCCTTTTCTATTCTACCCGAATTTACCAGGCACTTTAATAGGGGTGACAATTTTATGTTGCAGTTGAGATCAAAATTTTTCTAAGTACCAGTGGCCCACAATTATGCTGCCTAAAATTTAAAAACAAAAACACGTCAAAGCGTTAATTGCGGCAGGTCAATGCCACCTTGTGCGATTTGCAGGCACAGGAATTAGGCTAGATAGCTGCGCAGGCAATGCATACACGAAGAAAACAGCGCAAATTACAGGCGAAAACGGCACATCTCATACCTCGGATCGAACCTAGGTCCGCAGAGTAAGAAGCAGATGTCACAGCCACTACACCAAAACCGCATTTTTTTTATTCATTTCTACGGGCATCCGTCCATCTAGTAGAATCGGGTTTGACCTTACCCCGAGTGTAAAAGGTGAGGCCAGAATGACCTTGCATAATCAATCTCGTCCTTAGGTCACTACCGGACATTCTAGGTCGAATGTTCGAGTTGTCGACTGTAGTAAACGAGGAGTTGACCGCGGCCGTGCCGACTCACTTTCCCGACTACGAGGCACGCAGCGGGTCAAGGTTCGATTCCCCCGGGCGGCGGCGATCTTATTTATAAATTGGGCAACATCTACGACGGACGCCTTACTTCGCCAACTACAACGACAACTACAACTACGGCAACATCAGCAACAACGTCATTTTCAAGAGTGGGAAGAACCCATAACACCTATCGCTGTAAGACATAGCAGACAACCAAATGACGTCGTAGCACTGTGAATGCAAAGAGCTCGTGCAGTGATACGCGGTTTCACGCGCACCGGAATAAAAAAAGAAAAAAAAGTGTTCGGAACGAATCGGAACAAAACAAAGGAGTTCGGAACAAAAGAGATGTCTCTTTTGCTCACCCACCCCATGGTGCCTAAACGCAACGCCGATGCCCAATGACTTCGCGGTGAAGTGCCGCAGCTGAGCGTACTTTGGATAAACGAAGTACTGCTCGGATTTTTAATAAGCCTACGTCCATTAATGCCTAATATTGTCAAGACAAGACATAAGAGTGGGCGCCTTTAATACGTATTTCAGTAAACACAAAGAGAACCTTGACGGCAAGTAAGAAAACGACATTCCCTTTGTTTATACGTTACATGTTTCTCCACTGATACAAACGTAACATGCGGCCACAATGTCGATTGTTGTTTTCACGCTATTCCGCTTAGGTGGATATTGGCTAACAGAAAACGAACGAATTGTTTTCGTTTTGTTTTTTATCCAGGTAACGAAATGTTTTTAAACTTCAGCGTTTGATCGCAACCCCTAGCGTCATATTTTAGTGGCGTTATAGATTTATCAGATGCATAGTTTCTTTCGACGGCCGAAAAACACGGTTCTTTGTTTTCCAGAACACCCGGCACTTGGCAACAGAAGGAAGCGTGCACTTGATTTTCAGGCATGCGCCGGGTTTACTTAAGCGGCGATGAATACGGTGTAAGCGGGAGCGACGAAGCTGTCCGACAGTCGTTTAGAGTTCCACGGTCATCGCCGGAGCTACGCACCATTCAAGCTCATGAGCACTAAAAGGAAGCCAACGGCGAGTCGCTCACATAAACAAATGAATATACAAAATTGGAGGAATAGTGGAAAAGGCTTTTTACGCAGCATGGCCGCGGACGGTTTTTGAAAAAGTGGAAGAGCCAAAAGGGGCTTAGAGTCGCAGTAGATTATTTTAGCACAAACGGTAGATGGTCCTAATGCTGAATGCACCCAGGCAAGTGTTAAAGCTATTTTTATGAATATTGTTTCAAAGACAGTTTTTAAGTTAAAGTTGGCAGGCGATGCAATGAACGACGGCAATATTGAAAGATACGCCATCCCCAGTTCAAACAGCGCCAGTTCTTGATTGTAATAATAGCGATAAGCGACAAAGAACGTCTTACAGTATATGCCATGTGACCAGAGAGTCACGACGCAGCCTGGAATGGACACGGAAAGTTACTGAAACTCTCTTCCGGTGTTCGTTTTAGAGCACAGCTCCCAGGCTCGCGTTTCCGGGTTGAGCGGCGTCGGCATAGGCGCAACCGCGCGTTGGGTTATGGGACGTTTCCCATAATGACGTAACGTGTGATGTCGCGAGTGTAAAATATTCCTGCTAATTTTGGCAGCAATATGTTTCGCTGAATTTGGCGCGAATTATTTCCGCTAAATTTAGCAGGGCGTTTTTCTTAATGACGTCACACGTGACGTCACGTGCGGCCTCAC